CTCCGCCTCCTCCGCCTCCTCCTCCGCCTCCTGATGCACCTCCGCCTGGGGCTCCTCCTCCTCCACCTCCGCCTCGGGCTTCGAGTGTGTCGGGGGGGGTGCAACAACAAAAAATCATTGTTTTGTTGGTCCCCGCCCCCCGCTCCCCCTCCTCCTCCTCCTCCTCCTCCTCTTCCTCCTCCTTCTCCTCCTCCTCCTCCTCTGCCTCCTCCTCCTCCGCCTCCTCCTTCTCCTCCGCCTCCTCCTCCTCCTCCTCCTCCGCCTCTGCCTCCTCCTCCTGGGAAAGGGAGAGGGAAAGAGAGAGAACGAGAGAGAGAGAGGGGGGAGCGCGAGAAGAAAGAGGGCGGAGGATGATATAATGAAATGGTGAGTTTCGCAGGGGGGGATTCGACCCCTAAACCGGTCGGTGAACATGCCAAATTTCGTGTGGGGAACGCATGTGGGCGGTCCCACTGGCGGCTCCGGTGGAGCTCGCTACGGGGCCACGGGGCGCTGTACTCGGTGGGTGACAATGCCAAGTTGGGCGTGGGGGACGCACGCGGGCGGTCCCACTGGGGGCTTCGGTGGAGCTCCCTATGGGGCCACGAAGCGGTGTACTGGGTGGGCGAAAATGCCAAGTTGGGCGTGAGGGGCGCATGCGGGCGGTCACACGTGGGGCGTCGGTGGAGGGGGCCACGAAACGCTGCACTGGGTGGGTGAAAATGCCAAATCGGATGTGGAGGACGCATGCGTGCGGTGGGACTGGCGGGACCGCGGGCGGTGGGAATGGGGGCCACGAAACGTGTGAGGGGTGTGCGAAATTGGGCGTGGGGGACGTATCCGGGCGGTGATCTCGCTTGAAAATTCCTAGGCAATGTTTGATTGTTCGTCCAATAGCCCGTATGCAGGGGGGGACCTGCCCGACCTTACTTTTTTGACTCGCGGGTCGAGAGGCACCTCTTCCGGTCGAAACTACGCGGGCCGCGCGACGCTTGCACTAACAATGAGGGGGGGAAGGGGGAAAATGCCCGGCCTCCCACGAGCGCGCACCCTCCGCAGCGCTCGGGCCGCCCCCCGGGCCCCCCCGTGTTTGCCTCGAATTTTTCCGCGCGTGCGCGGCTGCTTCGCGGCGTGTCGAGCCCCGGCGCTGGTGACGAACGAACGACACGCACCCATACCCATAGGTGGGACGGAGGGGGCTATGGGTGCGTGTTGTCGGATGGGGGTCCCCGCTCGAAAGGAAGCACCCCCCAGGATCCGAGAACCCGCACCCATACTCATAGCCAGTCCTCCTCCCAACATTCCCCCTATGGGTATGGGTGTGTGTTGCTCGTTCGTCACCTGGTTCCCGACACTGCGGGGATCGCTCGAACTTTTCGGGTGTTGCCAGCAGTGCCCCTGGCCCCAGGCGCTCCCGGCGTTTCGCTCCATCTTGGAGCCCCTGGGGCCCTCTGGGCCTGGTGAGGAGCGCCCTGGAGGCCGTTTGGGGTACCCCTAGGATCCAGGGGGCACCTTGCCTTTGGCCCAGGGGCACTTCCAGCAACACCCTTAGGAAGCAACTGCGCTAAGGAGGATTAAGCCCCATTGCGGGGCTGTTGCGCCAGAGTGGGCCTCGGATTAAAAAGAATTATCCTGGCGAAGGACCCAACCATATGCAGTTGTGGGTACCGCAATTGTGAAAATCTTCTTCGGTGACGCTCCCTATGGGGCCACGAAGCGCTGCACTAGATGGGGGGGAACGCTGTTCTGGGTGAGTGGTGTGTCAAGTAAGGCTTCCCGGACGCATGCGGACGGTCCCACTGCGGGCTTCGGTGGAGCTTCCTACTGGGCCACGAAACGCTGTACTGGGTGGGTGAAAATGCCAATGTAGATGTGGGGGACGCATGTGGGCTGTACCACTGGGGGCTTCGGTGGAGCTCCCTATGGGGCCACGAAACGCTGTACTGGGTAAGTGAAAATGCCAAATTGGGCTTCCGGGACGCATGCGGGGCCACGAAACGCTGTATCGGGTGGATAAAAATGCCACGTTGGGTTTTCGGGACGCATGTGGACGGTGGCACTGGGGCCTTCGGTGGAGTTCCCTACGGGGCCACGAAATTCTTGACTGGGCGAGTGAAAATGCTACAATGGGTGTTCCGGGACGCATGCGGACGGTCCCACTGGGGCCTTCGGTGGAGCCCCCTGTGGGGCCACGAAACGCTGTACTGGGTGGGTGAAAATGCAACATTGCGTGTGCGGGACGCATGCGGACGGTGGCACTGGGGCCTTCGGTGGAGCTCCCTGTGGGGCCACGAAACGCTGTAATGGCTTTGCGAAAATGCCAAATTGCGTGTTCCAGGGCGAACTCGGACGGTCCCACCGGTGGAGCTCCTTATGTGGCCACGAAACGCAGTACTGAGTGGGGGGGACGCATGTGGACGGTAGCACTGTGACTTTCGGTGGGGCTCCCTATGGGGCCACGAAGCGCTGTACTGAGTGGGGACGCCGCATGTGGACAGTGGCACTGGGGCCTTCGGTGGAGCGCTCTATGGGCCACGAAACGCTGTACTGAGTGGGGGGACGCATGTGGACGGTGGCGCTGGGGCCTTCGTGCAGCGTGGGCAAGTGAATCGCTGGACGAGTGGGGAACGTATTGGACGTGGCACTGGGGGCTTCGGTGGAGCTCCCTTATGGGGCCACGGAAACGCTTGTACTGATGGGGGGGACGCGAGGGACGTGCCACTGGCCTTCGTGTTCAGCCGCGACGTGGCACGAAGCGCTGTACGGAGTGGGGGGGAGTATTGGACAGTGGCACAAGGGCCGTCGGTGGAGTCTCCCTAAGGGTCCACAAGCGGCGCTGTAACTGAGTGGGGGGAACGCATGTGGAACGGTGGCAACTGGGCCGTTGAGTAGCTCCCTAAGGGGCCACGAAGCGGCTGTTACGGAGATAGGGGGACGGGTGCACTGGGCCTTCGGTGGGCTCCGGTGAGAGCTCCCTATGGGCCACGAACGCTGTACAGGGGGCGACGAACGCTGTACAGAGTAGGGGGGACGCATGTGAACGGTGCCCGGGGCCTTCCGGGGGAGCTCCCTATGGGGCCGCGAAACGTTGTACTGAGTAGGAGGGGCACGTGTGGACGGTGGCACTGGGGCCTTCGGTGGAGCCCCCCTATGGGGCCACGAAGCGCTGTACTGCGTGGGGGGGGACGCATGTGGACGGTGGCGCTGGGGCCTTCGGTGGAGCTCCCTATGGGGCCACGAATCGCTGTACTGAGTGGGGGGGACGTATGTGGACGGTGGCACTGGGGCCTTCGGTGGAGCTCCCTATGGGGCCACGGAACGCTGTACTGAGTGGGGGGAACGCATGTGGACGGTGGCACTGGGGCCTTTGGTGGAGCTCCCTATGGGGCCACGAAACGTTGTACTGAGTGGGGGGGGGGCGCATGTGGACGGTGGCACTGGGGCCTTTAGGTGGAGCTCCCTATGGGGCTACGAAGCGCTGTGCTGGGTGGAGGGGGGCGCATGCGGACGGTGGAGAGGAGGAGGGGGCAGAGTAAGAGAGGAGGAGAGGAACGCGGGGACCGTCTCTTCAAAACCAGGACCCAACACCACAGGATGGTTGGGAATTAAACCAGATTAAGCGAGATAAAGCCGGATTGAGCGGGATTGCGCGAGAGCAAGCCGGATTAAGCCGGACTTCGGACCAAGGCAAAATCAGAATTTGACCTCCCAAGAGTTGCATCCGAAACACCCGATCCGTGAGCGCCGGATCGTTCAACGACGGGCCGATGCTGGGCCACGGGCGGCGTTCCACCAGCAGCGCACGCGGAGGGGTCGCCGCTGGTCGGCCGAGCACACACTTCTTGGCATCGCTCGGGCCGTCCCGCCCCGCGGATGTTTCTCGACGTCGTGCGCCCACGCAAAAAGTCAGGGTATGAGATTTTTGGACAGTTTTCGGCCCCTGGGAGCCCTCGCCGTGCTTCGGGACAGGGCTGAACCTAAACGGTGTTTTTTCCTTTTCGTGTTGTTTTCGTTTTCCCTCGTGTTGTCTTCGATTCGCCTTTACCGCAAAACGAAACCGAAACGAAAACGGCCCACGAAATAGCCAAAACACCGTTTAGGTCCAGCCCTGCTTCGGGACCGTCGAAAAGCACGACTCGGGAGGAAAAGCCGGCCACGGGGAAGGGGTCGGGACTTCCAGAGGGGCCCCGCACGGACAAGAAAGCATGGCGTCGCATGTCTGGGTTTCGCAAGGAGTGCTCCAGGATGCTCCTGCACATGCACACGTCCGAGCGATGCCAAGGCACAGACTCTCAGAAGGGTCTGCGCGGACTTCTAGGGTTGGCTCTGGACCCCACTGACGGCGCCTTCAGCGCCGCCCCTGGCGCGCTCCGCGCGCCAATGAGGGGGGTCCAACGCCGATCCGAGAAATCAGCGCGGACCTCGGAATGTCCATGCTTAGATTTTCCCTCCGAGAAAGAGAGGGGCGCTCAACCTTAGGTCGGGCATGTCCCCCTACAGTTAAGTCGGGCCTGTCCTCCTGCAGGTCGATGTTGGACGAAACATCAACAACAGTCAAACAAAAGCAATACAAAATCCCAAAATGGTTAAACAAATCGTCCCCTTACTATTTTTTACTATTTTTGAATACTCCTCCTGTAAAGGGGCAGGCCCGACTTCACCCTACAGACAGGTTTTTGACGACAAATGAAAAATTGTCCATCAATATCCGAAGGATATTCGGAAATACGTAGCACCCCGCAGATGCGGATAAAAATGAGAGGGCGGCGGGGACGTCGTCAATTTGCGAGGCTCTGGAGAAGCCCACCGCAGGCGCCAAAGTTTCAAATTATACAACGAGCCCGCCGCAATCGCCGATTTCTTCAAACCACTGTTGATCGGTCGCGGGCGGGTCGCGGGTGGGTCGCGGGTGGGTCGCAAA